GAAAGCTTTCAGAAGCCTGGGTACTGACTAATACTAATAATACGAATATTCGTTCCAATACTAAGGATAACGAATACCGACAAGCATTCAGGGTATAGGATTTTTTAACCCGACCTCAAACTCGTCGAAAGGCTAGGACGTGCTAGGACTACTGTGAGGAGTGTCGAAGACTAGTAAACATGCTGTAGCGCTAATTCTTGGGCTCTCTGTAGCCATGAAATCCACGCCGTTCTCTGCCGAAGCTTGGAGCGGTTGCTGGATTCAGAAACGCGAAGGCAAACAGACAAGCCAAGTGCCGAAGCGGAAACCCGGAGGCCCTAAACCAAAAGCCCCAAACCCCGAAGCCCTAAACCCTCAGCCTCAAACCGTAGCCTTAAACCCTGAAGTCTTAAACACTAAACCGCGTCGTCTGCTGGGCAAGGCCTTCTGACCGGCGGGTCCGAAGGCGATGATTGGAACCCGAGGCAGTACGGATAATACAAAAAATATACACGTCATCAGACTACGGTCTAGCCTAGCCTAGCCCAGTCTGGCCTAGTCTAGCCTAGTCCAGTCTAGTCTAGACTCATGTTGTCCCGCACATTACAGTACAGTGCAGTAGAGTATGGCCCACTGCAGTACAGTACACTACAGTACCTTACAGGACAGTACCTTGCAGTACACTACAGCACGGCATAGTGTAGATTAGTATAGCATACCCTGGCATACACTAATAAAGTTGGTTGGGTTTAGTCTAGCGAGGGTCCTCGATTTTGGTGTTGCTTCGGGTTCGGGGCTTAGGAAATCGTGGGATTTTGCCATAATTCGTGTTATGGCTGATGTCATTAACATTCGTGTTTTTTTTTTATCATCGTGTCGAATGTAGACGGTTCTGTGAGTGTCTCGGACTGGTTCGAGTCCGGTTGCGACCAGGTTTCAGAATTCTGCGAAGCCACTTGTCGATTTCTGGGACTGAGACTTCAAAATCTGTCTGAACCATAAACCCTAAACCCTAAACCTCTTCCGAGACGGAAGAGAGCCGAGCACTTCCCCCCTACACCCAGCGCCGTGAACCCTGAACCCTAAAAAAATCAGCTCTGGACCCTCCAAAAGCCCCAAAAGCCCCAAAGCC